GGTAGCTGCCCTGCTGGGTGAGGCTGCCGGTCTCTGGCTGAGGTCCAGGGTACACCTGACCTGTCTCAGCCACCTGCAAAAACAGATTGCACATTATGCCTAATATCAGTGAAGGCTGATCCCTAGAACTATGCGCTGCAAAACCGACGCACAAACGAAAAAGACACTGCCACAATAAAGTTAGAACCAATGGCTTTCCTCATGTGAAATGTGATTTATGCACCGATTATGAAAACCAGTCTTCGTATCCCCGTACCCAGAAGCAGGTACAGCATGAAGTGCAAGACTCAGACCAACCGCATCCGGCTTGGCTGCGACTTATGTTACCCTCCTGACTAACAAGTACATCCCTGGCAATGTCTACGGATGACTCGCTCCCTAATCAAACGCATTTAGTAATAACGCGCCAACAGTTCACCGGACGGGGGATCCAGTGTCATGTGAAATGGGAGTAATAAAATCCTCAAAAACTTACCGCCTGTCCGTTGTCCTGCTCGTAGCTGTACTCGTAACTCCCAGTATTGGGATCCTGGTCGAACCTCTGGCTAAGAATGCGGATCTCGGGCAGTCCAGACCTCACAAGCTCATTAGCGTTGTAGTTTTGCGGAGCAGCCGCAGCCGCAACCACCAGTGTAGCAAAGACGAGCTAGGGAAAGGGCCAGCGCGTTAGTTAGTACAATGGCTACAATATATGTGCACCATTTTGACAAGAAAAGCGTGTGATTCAGGAGTTTAACCAAAGTAAATGCCTCACTACCAATTTAGCAAATACGTAATTGCTTCTGGCAGTTACTTTTAATCCACAAAACTTCCGTCTTTATTGTCTACTAACGCGTGATTGTCCAAACATTTGTTACGCATTTGGAAGTTCCGGAACTTGTCTGAGTATCAAGTCTGTGATTGGCAAGAACATATAACTTGAAACTCCTCGACTGAGCATGTTTCTGTAACAATAATGGAGCTCCCTATCCTGAAGATGCGTTAGCCACTACGGGTATCAGACTGTCTTTGGGCCACTCCAATGCCACGTCTGCCTGTTTATCCTCTCGTTTGGTCGCCCGGTACATGGCCGCTGTTCGGGCGACTACAGCACACACCACTCACCAGCTTCATGGCTCTGTGATGCTCAGATCTGTGGTGCTCGGTCGGCTGCAGCAAGCGACTGATGCTGAGAGCTCCAGCTCCGCGCCTTATAAGCGGCGGTAGCGGCGAGGCTGCGCGGGCGGGCTCCCCTGCCGTGCCGACCTTTCCCTGCCCCGCCAGCCGACGGCGACCTTCACAGCGCTTACTGCCGGCTGATTGCCCACCGCCGAGATCGTACGAGCTCAGTGCACACCTCCCCGCATGCTCCCAGAAACAGGTGCCGATTGGATTATAAAGTTGAGGCATCTAAAAAAATTACGTTGGAAATTGGACGGACATGCATACATAGATTCGGAACTTTTTGGATAGCCCATATCATTCTGTCGTGTCGCATATTGATATCCAGGATGCACCTCGCTCGCAGACGATAATTTTAGTTTTAACATTCGAATAAAGTGAAGGAATGCATTGAGAGGTGTGGCTTGAGTTATTGGTTATGTGTGGTAGTGGTTTTATGCTTTAAAGGTGGATTGAGAATATATGAACAAATGGATTTTTGGACGCATTTTGGCGAGCTTAGGGTGGTCTTTCTTTAGCTGCTTTTACTTCAGGATCTGAACGGGTACCCGCAGCAGGTGGGTGTCTTGCGGTGGTTGGATTTTTGCCGTTCCGACCATCGACATTGGACACGACCTTCTAGAAATCGGCACTTCTCTTCCCAGTGCAGTCAGCGGGTGCAAAAATGGTTAGCGAAGCGCCGTCAGCGTGTAACGGTGTGACTTGCAGCCGCTGTCCGAGCTGTGGCAACCGACGCAGCTATTGTTTGGCGTGATGCGACGTCATACTCGCACACTGAGCAGACACATCAGGGTATGGAAGACAGTAGGCTTACGGTAAGACGGTAATGAGTGCACGACGATTGCTCACGTGGCGTGTGGACGGTCATCAACTGTCGCCCATCCGGTTCCGCATTCCACCGTTAAACGCAAAGAAGCGAGCATGAGTAACCCGACCTCAAAACAGAAGGTCACGGCCCGTCTGCTTCAGATCCCAGCGTAGAGCTACTCTGTGTGAATTTGAGATGATTTCTATCAGTACTCACCTCAGCGTCATCGGATGAGGATACAATTTATTCTTTAAGCCGAGTGTACCGCTCATGACTATCTCACAATATGTAGGAGATCATGTACTGAAGTGTACTATTGTGCTATTCCAAACTGATCAAACTAAGTAATGCAAGTTATCAATTTTAACCGCCAGAGGCACATCCAGGGCCAGTGAGGGGAGGGGTTGAGTGCTTTACATAGGCTATGCTAAACAAGTTACGTGCTGTAGTCGTATTTGCACGGGCTGCCAAATGCCTCCAAGCAATTAAATGCATGCTAGCAACACATCATAAGATAAAGGTGAACTTCAGCCGTTGTTGCTTACAGTTACACCAGCATGAAGCATAGTCACGTTTTTTTATTATTTTTTGCCACTTTCATGATGTACATCACACAGTGGCACAATTTTTGATTCGTTTTCAGGAGTGCACGAAAATGTTACTGAGCAATACAAGAGGAGAGGCAAGTACTTAAAGTCTTAGATGCCGAGCTTATACCGTTTGTTTGTTCATGTGCTACGACCATCAGCCCTTTCTTCTAGCATGACCTCGCATGCATCAAGGAATGAGCAGCAGAAGCGGAGCCAGGAGCCAAACTTGAAGAAAATGTATTGACTTGATACCTTGAGTGGCAAAAAATCGACACTTGCCCACAGTTTACCGACGTTGTGAGAAAAAAACGAATCGTCATCGCTTTTTAGTATGACCGAAATAATAAGGCACAACTTGAGTTTTATCCACTGTCATCCGGCTTAAGTTATTGACGCTGATTAACCCTTGTAACCCCAAAACGATACGCCCGCATCCCAGACCATTTGCGGACCTAAATTCCAACGACGTCCTGCCACTTCACAACAGTCAATGTGCTTTGCGCAATGCACTAAATCGCCATTTCGATGTCTTTTATGTATCATGCCATTTAAACCCACCAAACACCCAGCATCACGAAATATATTTCAAATCCATGTTTCCCTTTCTGAGTGCGCTATTGAGGACATGTTTCTCAATTTTGGTGTGCTAAACTAGAGTTCCTCCCTGCCAGCTAGTTGAAGCCCGTCAACAACAGTTGATTTCGGCCGCGCACGAAGCCAAAATTCAGCTCAGGGGAAGACAAATGTCACTTTTTCTAATGTCTGTAAGTTTGTATAAGATTGCTCTGAAATCGTCCAGTATATAAGCTTACTTGCTCAGGGACGGTGGGAAAGTCCTGTGTGGTCCTTCTCTTCACGGCGTCCCCGATTTCAACTGGGTTTCATCGTTTTTTTTGGGGGGGGAGGGGGTGAATAGTGTTGAAAAGGTGAAGATATAGTAGTATCGGTGAGTAAAACTTCCTAAAGGTTATAAGCACATGCTCGCTATTTGATTGCCCGTTGCATTTAGCTGGTACCCAGGAATCAGGACACTTATAATTAGTACTTAGATGCAGGGAATTTGCCATTAAAAGGTATCCACGCGATAAAATGCAAAGTCCAATACAGCAGGTATATGTAGATGATTTGTGTATTGCTCACCCGGAAACAGCAATTTCGGTTCGCCTAACACTAGGTTAAGAATTGTATGAACCCCATCACTGACGATGGGCATGCTGTTGATATCAATGCCACACTGTCTTTAAGCTCCATTTAACTGCCCTTTTTCCCGTTTGATGTCTCGCAGGTGAAATGATGTTTCTGGTGTAACAGAAAGGAAACGTGTGTGTGTGTGTGTGTGTGTGTGTGTGTGTGTGTGTGTGTGTGTGTGTGTGTGTGTGTGTGTGTGTGTGTGTGTGTGTGTGTGTGTGTGTGTGCGTGTGTGTGTGTGCGTGCGTGCGTGCGTGCGTGCGTGCGTACGTGCGTACGTGCGTGCGTGCGTGTGTGGAGGGATGGCAAACGTTCTTGGCTTCTATCGGAGCTCCATTTTAACATTAAGTTTGACTTACAAGGTCAGTGAGACCAAGCATAGCCATCCCACCATAATTTTCATGTGCAATGTCCACCTCCAGCATTATGATGTGGAACTAACTTTGCAGCTGATGGACCCGGGTTGAAACTTTAGGGCTCAGAACCAAACTCGAAAGCGGACTGAGTCTCTAACGAGTCGGACGCGGACTCAGACCCATAAGCCGTGAAAAATGACTTCATTTTGCCTCGAACTCGGGCTGGTTAATGTTGCAAAAAAAGAAGTCAGAAATTCGATTAAGACTCAGAGTGTCTGGACTTGACCTCGGACTTGGCCTGAAATCCTTGCACCCAGACGCATGCCTGCAATGTGCTTCGTTGGGAATTATGCAAAGTTGATTATGCACCTTCGATCTCCTGGCTACGCCATTTGTGCACGACCCACAATACAAAATGCTTTTTGGAAGCCGGAGTAAAAATTTGCTTCCAAATGATTTGTTCCAAGAACCAGTTCCTATGCTGTAATATATATGCCCAGCCCACGACTGCCATGAAAACATGCCACGACCTGACGTACGTTTATTGATAAAGACTGGCATACATCGGCCAAAGGTATTGCGCGGTACTTATACCAGACATTTAAGCAGAACAAGAACGGTATTTGTAGGCGCACAGAACGACCACACAGATAAGGGACGGCTTGTAGGCGTTTCACCGCATAAAGTATCATATCCAGTGAAATCAAAGAACATGAACAGGTACATCAAGTTTGTGTATAGAACTTCCATTATCCCACGTCTTACCAAACCTGAAGTTTGTTGGCGTAGTCGGCATTAAACGCATTCGAATGTAGCGAGCCCCTCCGTGCTGCACTCCACCTACAAACGTTAACTTGGGTTGATGTTACTATCAGAGGGTCTGAACAAGCGATGATCCTAGGCGTATTGCCTCTGCTCTGCCCAGAACAGCTCGGGGTGTTCAATCCTCAGCTGCTCGTACTCCGGGATCTGGGCGGGCGCCACCGGCAGGTGGGCGCCCTGCGGCTGGTAGCCTCCCTCGTCGGCCACGTAGTTGACTTGGTAGGTGCTGCCGTCATCGCCCACGAACTGGTAGTTGCCCTGCTGGGTGATGCTGCCGGTCTCTGGCACAGGTCCAGGGTACACCTGACCTGTCTCAGCCGCCTGCAAAGAAAGCATGCATATGATAGGTGTTATCACTAGAGGCTGAGACTATGCGCTGCATTACTAAAGCATAAGCTGGAAGACAGCTTCGGCATTGAAGGTAGAACCGATTTCATTTTATGTGAAGTGGGCTTTAATCACCCATTCACATAATTAGCCTTCGCCTCCTCTCCCTCGTAAGCATCGACTGCTTAAATTGCAAGATTCAGACCATCCAAACCATCCGGCTGAACTGCGGCTTAACTGCTGCTGACTGCTGACTATCAAATACAATCCTGCAATGTATGCAGATGACTCGCTACGTTAATCGAAGACATGTGGTCATGAAGATGAACAGTTCACCAGATTAGCAATCCACAAGGCATAACGTACGATGAGGAGGGATGAACTGCTCAAAAACTTACCGCCTGTCCGTTGTCCTGCTCGTAGCTGTACTCGTAGTTTCCAGTGTTGGGATCCTGATCGAACCTCTGGCTGAGAATGCGGATCTCGGGCAGTCCAGATTTCACAAACTGATTAGCGTTGTAGTTTTGCGGAGCAGCCGCAGCCGCAACCACCAGTGTAGCAAAGACGAACTAGGGAGAAGGCCAGCGCGTCAGCTAGGACAAGACTTACAATATATGTGCACCATTTTGAGAAGAAAAAAGAATCATTTCGTGAACAATCATAGGCACTTTATCCCTGCTCATGAGCAAATGCTTCTTGGTTGCTACCCTTTTTAAGCTACAAAAGCCGCCTTTTCGTTGGCTATCAGCATAAGACTGCACAAATACTTTTACACCTTTGGAATTCTTGGAACGTTTCCAGAAGCACTCAGTCAATTATTGAGAAGAACCAATCATTTGGAACTCCTTGGCTGTGCATGTTATTGTCGCGATCATTCAATACCCTAGTCTGTAGATGCATTAAACACTACGTGCAGCATCTTTGCGTGCAACGACCTCCATACTTCATCTGCTTGGCTTGCCTCTCGTTCGGCCGCCCGGTACATGGCCGCTGTTCAGGCGACTACAGCACACACCACTCACCAGCTGCATGGCTCTGTGGTGCTCAGATCTATGGTGCTCGGTCAGCTGCAGCAAGCGACTGATGCCGAGAGCTCCAGCTCCGCGCCTTATAAGCGGCGGTGGCGGCGCGGCCGCGCGTGCGGGCTATCCCGCCGTGCCAACCGCTACCTGCCCCGTCAGCCGACGGTGACCTCGTCAGTAATTATTGCCGGCTAATTGTCCGACCGCGAGATCGTCCGAGCTCCGCGAATGTCTCCGCGCCCCTCGTCTGGGGAGAAGTGCCGATTTCATTACAAATGTTGGCAAGTTCAGAAATTTCCAGAGTTAGTTAAGTTAGAAATTCCACAAACAGGGGTAGAAATGTCTAGGTTTTTTTGGACAGGTGGTTTCATTCTTTCGTGTTGCAAATTGGCATGCATGATGTACATTAGCGTGTGTCATCGAGGGGGTGAATCTCTTGAAGTCAGCTGAGACAAAGTCTTTACGGATTGATGATAAATTGTCCGGAAAATATATTTTAATGGATTAATATTATGCGTATATTTAAACGAATTAGTGATAAACTTTCAGGTCTGTCACACCGCACTACTGTTGATATCCGTGAGATGAGAGCAGTGTTTCTTTGATAGACCAAGAAAACCGTGTCCAATACTAGCGCTACCTATTTTACGCACTGGGATCATTTTCCAACCACCCTCAAAGCTGCCACTTCCACACTACTGACACTTGGTGGACTGAATATAAAGTAGATATTATGAAGAGCACCGGCAAAACACTGGTAAACATCTTTTAAGCTAACTTTTTAGTTATGAACATTGATTTTTGGTAAAACCCAAAGCTATGCAGTTTTGAGAATGCTCCAGCAGACCGTGTTAGGTTCAAGTTTGTTATTGCTAACGCATCATTTGATGTTGATTTGCAACTCATGTGCTTTTTCGTGGGTGATTTGGTTTCATGAGTTTAGTTTTGCTTTTACTGAAGCATTTATTTCGACCAGTTACTTACATAAACATACCTAATGCTCTCCGGTCGCGCATAAAACATTTTGTGGTAAGTCACCCGGCTTTTCTGTCCCACCACCAACTACCGACTACGGGAAAGCCTTGAGCTACATCAGGTGGCTGAGGGAATCGAAGAGGAATCTTACTAATGCCATCTTCAGGACCGCGACGGTAGAAATTATGGTGCTGTGCACCAGCGAAGCGATCCCAGTTCATCATCTAAAATATGTGACAAAATTGATCGAGAAAGTTTGATATCATCCCAACAGAACTATCAGCAAGAAATGGCAAAAAGAAAGATAGTGACACAGCAGCGCCACCACCGCGAAATTCAACAAGCTTCTTGATGTCACGAAATGCGAGTGCAAGCCTCAGTGCAGCTTTCCATGCCCAAATGTCTACACAGTGTATCAGGAGGAGGTTGCCATGAAGGACCAGTACATGCATTGGAAGCTCACCCAGGGGTCATATGAGCGGGATACGATTGCGACTAGGGAGGCTCGCGAGGTGCGGAGGATGGCCAAACAACTCCAGGGGCGTCGTGGCTCGGCCGCCAGTGAGGCGGTGTCTGCTGCTGAGCCTGAGTCGCCTTCCCTGCCAACTGCTGAGCCCGCGCCGCCTGCTGAGCCAGCGCTGGCTGCCAGTGCTGACCCCGAGCCCGCTCAGGGACTAAGTGGTCCCAGCGCTGACGACTCAGCCGAGGGCACGGACTCTTACACGATTTCGTACATGGTAGAAGGTGGCGACGACGCCGATTGTTTGTTCCGGTTGAGACCACTGTCACTGTACATTATAACGCTAACGATCTGACTAGCACAGCTCTGGCGGTTGACAGCTACGGTCGCTCGAACCAGGCCGCTGCTGCTATCATCAATGCCTTTCAACAAGACAGCAGGGACGGACTGGCCACTTGTAATCAAATATCGCAGATCCTAAGAAGATCTGCTGCGTAAGAGAAAGAGCGAGAAAGGAGACGGTTCGTTAAAATTTTGGAGAAACCCACGAGTCAGGTTTCGCATCCTCTACTCCGACAGTCGCGAAGGTAGGAGCTACATGAGCCACACGGAGCCAGACGAATGCCGTCGAAAAACACGTGGTTGTCATCACTGAGCTAGGCAGTCGCTACGTGGCTCATTTTACGTCCGACTTCGGCCGCGCCCTGCACTTGTTCAACGGGCTACACTCAGTGAGCCCGCACTGCGACGGTCACATCAATGTGCTCGGCTGCGATGGCACGGCCGTCAAATCCGAAACAATAGGCGGCGTGTTCCGACTGTTTGAGCTGGTCACCGAATCACCCGTACACAGGTTAATCTGCCAGCTGCATGGCAACGAGCTGAACCTCCGCCATCTGCTGCTGAGCTTGGAAAGCACGACCTGTGTCGGAGAGATCTGGGAGAGGGACGTTGTGGCATTCAAGCCTAGGTTGGTGCACGTGCCAAACCTGCCGGTCGACCTGATTCAGCAGATGAGCACCAAACAGCACCTGCTGTTCCTTTTGGTCTCCTGCGTTCTAAACAGCTTGGTCCCAAACGTGGCAGCCCGGTGGCGAATCGGACCATCGAACCATCTCAGGTAAGTATGAAAACGCATTATCTTCGAATTTATAGCGATGAGTGTTTAAAGTTAGCTGAGTATCTATTGATATGGCATGTCCTTGCTGTTGAGTATTCCCTTATCATCATACCTCGTGCCGTGCGTGGTGCGTCGCATCATTTGCTGGCTGGTTCATGCTTACTAGTATATCTGTTGACATGTATTCCGTCACATTTAAGGACAGTGGATGTCGGCATAATTACATACACCAAAAAAGCGTAATAATTTTTCTATTGCACCACTTGAATGTATTTTTTAATGCTCAGTAACATATTGTTTCAACATATTCCCTCTTGCTTTCAGACGCGGCCGCTCGTTTACTCCTAGTTCACATCTCTACCGAGACCTCCAGAAGCGCTCTCAAGGGCCTCGCCCAGCGCGTGGTCGGTCACTATGCGTCGGTATGGTCCGCCATCCGGCAAAACAGCGACTGCGACTTTGGCTTGCGCAACTTGTTTCGGAGCATCGCGCTGCTCCGCGACCTGCCACAGCACACATAGGCCACGGTGCAGCCAGTCCTCCAGCGCAACGGGTACTGGGTCCGTCCGGAACACCTGCTGCTAGACGTGGTGTGGGATAAGAACCATATTGTCCGCGAACAAGTGGTTCCGATCGTCGCGCCGCTCGTGAGCGGCAAACCAAAGGTCTTCTTCAGCCCAGGGATTTCGCCATCTCAGCTGTAAGCTTCGAGGCCGTGAGAAACACCGAACTGATTCCCTGGCACGGACCAGTCACACAGTCCCCATTGTGAGACCTTAGTGACTGCGAGCTGCGGAACAAAGTGCAGTCACCGCTGGCTGTTTTGCCCCATCTGGTTCACACCAGGAGCGCGACGAAGCGCCGCACTGCCAAGGACGTCTGTGGCTGGAGCTGGAGCTGGAGTTTGTTTCATACACAGTTTATACACAGTTTTTTTTTGCATCACGTGAGTTGTCTCAGCTAAGTGAAAGTCTATAGCAATTCTAACCAGCATGCTCCTACGAGTTCATACTCAACAGCACATAGAGTTTCCGCCAAAAGACAATCAATCGGGCAATGTCTGCACCGAATGTTAGGCCTTATACCGGGACATTCTCGTACGACGGCTTAACGAGCGCTCGGTAGCATCGTTTCTATACGCAAAGATATGTTGTGCCGCTTGCCACCAACGGCTTGGTGTTACCTGCGACAGAGCACGTCGTCCAGCATAGGGTGACTGCAACGCCGGGCATCGGTTTTCGGGGATGTTTCGATCGACTCGCGCCTCACAAATTTAAGTTTTTGGGAAGAACTTTTGCTATGCCGTGTACTTTTGGACTCCTGCGCCAAAGAATTTCTTTGTCTCCGTTGATTTTGTTACCGATGACGCACCCTTATGTACATCTTTCACCGACGACCATCTACTTTCATTTGATTCGAGTCACAGAATCCAGCGATGCCAGTAGTGGCTAGGTTATCGGTTGTACATAGTGGTGACTTTATGCACAAACACTTAACAATAATAGACACTCTGTTTTTTACACCTTTTGGACGGTAAGCTGGCGGTGGTCTCCAACAACAACCAATACATGGCAGTTGAATAGCAACAGCTACAGGTCCCCAGCAAGCATTTCTTGTCTGACGTTTTCTAGTCTTGAAGTGAGCATTGCAGTAAAGCCCGCCCCGACAGCTCAGTTTGCTAGAATCCCTGGCTTCTCATTCACCCACCAGCTGCAGGGTGAGGTGAGTAACTTTCAGGGTTTGCTTTTTGTTTGACTGGAATAGCCTGTAGCCGGTTGTAGCAGCCGCGCTAAAGGCTCAGCACAGGGGCGTAGTAACTGTCTCCCTCCCCGCCCCCCGATACCTATGTTCTTTATTTGAGCGCCATATAAGTTTATTGTTGATTCCTTACGATGCCGACTGCCAAGCAAATTGGATGAAAAAATTCTTACTAAAATGAGCACCACAAACCATGCAATGAAGCAAGCTCTTGAGTAGAAGAAAGGTTCTGACATTATCTGATCTTCATATCTGATCCTAGGTCAATCAAGCTTCCTAGCTCAGATGATGTGTTGCTTAAGAAAATATTTCGTGGATGTATGGTTTCATCCAGCACCCTGTTGTTGCATCACAGAGAACGGTTCCAAAGAAATTGTCTTCCCTGAATGCATGGCGTGCCTTCGACCTGCCGTAGGTCAGCGACCTTATGTTTGGATACTTATTTGCTGAATAGTGTTGGGTAGGTGATATAAGACGTGGGAGTATCGGCCAGGAAAACTTTGTAAATATTATGAGCACGTGCTCGTTTTATTTTATTTGAGGGGAGTATTCCTCATTTCTATGACATGTTGAATTGAAAACCCATCTTGAAGGTTATTCCATGCAGTTCACATCCCTACCCTTCTTCAGATCTAAGTCCGTCTTGTTTCTGAGCTACACGCCCGCGAAGATGGGAAGACTATTGCGGGGAGAGTACTTCAATGTCACCTTGGCATTCATAACGTCATAATCACGTTATTAAAATGTTGCAATTCCATGACCCACGCGATGATCCGGGCCGAGAAAAGAAATGTCGAACCATTCACATTTCCTGTACTTGAGTTTTAATAACCAGAACTCAGGTGCAGGGGATATGGAAATAACCTGTTGTTTTATTGCTCACCTTGAAATTAACATTATGTTTGGGTTAACGTCAGGACAAGGATTTTATGAACCACAATATGTTGCCAGGGCATGCTCTTGACATCAATGCCACCTTGTCTTTACGCCTCATTAAACTGACCCTGTTTTTTTTTCATTTGACGTCCTACCGGTGGAATGATGCGCAGAAAGCAAAAGGGAAGCACCTATGTACGGCAATCACTGTCTTCGGTTGTGGGAATTAGGAGGGGAATGGACGTGTGGAAGGAACGACACATCTTCTTGACAACTATTAGAACCCCCTGGTGGCAGAGTTACAATCAGGCTAAGGTCAGTTAGGCTACAGCTACAATATCCACCAAAGATTTCGAACGCAGACTCCAAACCACTAGCTGTAAAAATAATTGCAGTTGACCGTAGACCCGGGCTATTTAATGATGACCGAATTAAGTAAAAAAAACTCGATTCAAGCCCAGAGCACCAGGACTCGGACTCGGGCTTGAACTAAATGTCATGAACTATGACTCATAATGCAGTGTGCTTATTTAGAACAATGCGGCTTCCATCATACTTCCATATCTGATATATTTGTGCACATCAAGCCTTCAGCACGTCAAAACATGGTGTTATTTGCAGGCTGGGACAAAGCACTCACTTTTCAGTGTTCTGCTCAAACAATAAGCCCTTCCGCTTCAATTTAAAAATCGAGCCCGTGGCTGCCATGAAAACACGTCACGTTTTTACGCAAGTGTATTTATAACAACTAGCACGCATCGCACAAAGACACCACACAGTACTCATTCACGGCATTTGAGGAGACACCAAGGGAACCTGTAGGCGTATAATACAACCGCAAGGAAGAGAGCCGCACGAATGTAAGAAAAGGATGTGTAGATGACTTTCATCATCTCATTTCTTAGCAAAGCTTGAGTTTGTTCGCGTAGGCGGCATTAAACGCAAGTAAATGTAGCGAGCCCCTCGGTGGTGCTCTCCACCTACAAACGTTAATCTGGGTTGATGACGATATCACAGTGCAGCCCAAACGACTGATATTCCTAAACGTATTGCTGCTGCTCTGCCCAGAACAGCTCGGGGTGTTCAATTCTCAGCTGCTCATACTGCGGAATCTGCGCGGGCGCCACCGGCAGGTGGGCGCCCTGTGGCTGGTGGCCTCCCTCGTCGGCCACGTAGCTGACTTGGTAGGTGTTGCCGTCATCGCCCACAAACTGGTAGCTGCCCTGCTGGGTGAGGCTGCCTGTCTCTGGCTGAGGTCCAGGGTACACCTGACCTGTCTCAGCCGCCTGCAAATGCAGAATGCACACTATGCCTAATATCGGTGAAGGCTGATCCCTAGAACTATGCGCTGCATAACTAACGCACAAACAAAAAAGACACTGCCACAACAAAGTTAGAACCGATGGCCTTTTTCATGTGAAGTGTGATTTATGCACCGATTATAAAAGTGAGTCTTCGTATCCCCACACCCAGAAGTATGGACAGCATGAAGTGCAAGACTCAGACCAACAGCACCCGGCTTGGCTGCGACTTATGTTACGCTCCTGACTAACAAGTACATCCCTGGCAATGTATACGGATGACTCGCTCCCTAATCAAACGCATTTAGTCATAACGTGTCAGCAGTTCACCAGATGAGAAATACAGTGTCATCATGTGAAATGAGTATAATAAAATCCTCAAAAACTTACCGCCTGTCCGTTGTCCTGTTCGTAGCTGTACTCGTAGCTTCCAGTGTCGGGATCCTGATCGAACCTCTGGCTGAGAATGCGGATCTTGGGCAGTCCAGACCTCACAAACTCATTAGCGTTGTAGTTTTGCGGAGCAGACGCAGCCGCAACCACCAGTGTAGCAAAGACGAGCTAGGGAAAAGGCCAGCGCGTTATTTAGGACAATGCCTGCAATATCTGTGCACCATTTTGACAAGAAAACGCGTGATTTAGGAGTTCAACAAAAAAAAAAATATCTGGCTACTAATTAGCAAATACGTAATTGCTTCTGGCAATTCGTTTTAATCCACAGAACTCCTATCTTTATTGTCTACTAACACGTGATTGTCCCAACATTTGTTACGCATTTGGAAGTTCCCGAACTTGCCTGGTTATCCAATCTGTTATTGGAAAAACAGATAACTTGAAAGTCCTCGACTGGGCATGTTTCTGTAACAATGATGGAACTCCCTATCCTGAAGATGCGTTAGCCACTACGGGTATCAGATTGTCATGGGGCCTGCCGAGTGCCACGTCTGCCTGGTAATCCTCTCGTTCGGCCTCCCGGTACACGGCCGCTGTTCGGGCGACTACAGCACACACCACTCACCAGCTGCATGGCTCTGTGGTTCTCAGATCTGTGGTGCTCAGTCGGCTGCAGCAAGCGACTGATGCTGAGAGCTCCAGCTCCAGGCCTTATAAGCGCCGTCAGCGGTGACGTCGCGCGGGCGAGCTATCCCGCCATGCCGACCTTTCCCTGCCCCGACAGCCGATGGCGACCTTCACAGCGCTTGCCGCTGGCTAAATGCCCAGCCGCGAGATCGTCCGAGCTCCGTGCACACCTCCGCGCATGCTCCCAGAAACAGGTGCAGATTAGATTATAAAGTTGAAGAATCTTAAAATTAAATTGGAAATTGAACGGACATGGATACAAATATTCGGACTTTTTTGGATAGTCGATATCATTCTGTCGTGTCGTATATTGATATGCAGGACGCGCCTCACTTACAGACGATAATTTTAGTTCTTATCATTCGGATAAAGTGAAGGGATGTATTGAGAGGTGTGGCTTGAGTTATTGCTTGTATGTGGTGGTGGTTTTATGCTTTTTAGGTGGATTGAAAATACATGAAGAAACTGATTTTTGGACGCATTTTGGTGGGCTTTGGGTGGTCTTTCTTTAGCTGCTTCTACTTCAGGACCTGAACGGGTACCCGCAGCAGGTTGGTGTCTTGCAGCGATTGGATTTTTGTTGGTCCAACCATGGACTTTGGACGCGACCTTCTAGAAATCGGCACCTTTGCTACCAGCGCAGGCAGCGGGTGCAACGATGGCTGGCGAAGCGCCGTCAGCGTGTGTGACTTGCAGCCGCTCTCCGATCTGTGGCAACCGAAGCAGCTGTTGTTTGACGTGATGTGACGTCATAATTGACGTGATGTGACGTCATAATTGACGTGATGTGACGTCATAATTGACGTGATGTGACGTCAAAATTGCAGACTGAGCAGACACATCAGGGTGTGGAGGACAGCAGGCTTTTGGTAAGACGATAATGAGTGGACAACCATTGCTCACGTGGCGTGTGATGGCTCATCAACTGTCGCCTATCCGGTTCCGCATTCCATCGTCAGACACAAAAGCGCGCATGAGTGACTATTTGACAATATGCAGGAGATCTTGCAGTGGAGTGTACTATAGTGTTATTTCAAACTGATCAAACTGAATAATGTATGTAATCAATTTTAACCGCAAGGGGCAGATTCGGAGCCAGCGAGGGGAGGGGCTGATTGCTTTACATAGGCTATGCTAGACAAGTTACGTGCTGTAGTCGTATTTGCACAGGCTGTCAAATGCTTCCAGCAATTAAATGGATGCTAGCAACGCATCATCAGATAGATGTTGAACTTCGGCCGTTGTTACTAACAGCTACAACAACATGAAGCATGGACACGTTTTTATTATTATTTTTTGCCTCTTGCGCGATGTGCATCACACAGTGGCACGATTTCCATTCGTTTTCAGAAGTTCACAGAAATGTTACTCCGCAATACTGGAGGAGTGGCAAGTTCTTAAAGTCTTAGATACCAGGCGTCTGCCATTTTATTGTTCCTGTGCTACCATAATCAATCCTTTATTATAACAGATATTGCATGCATCAAGCAATGAGCAATAGAAAAGGAGTCAGGGGTCAAACTTGAACAAAAGATATTGACTTGATAGCTTAGTGGCAAAAGACCGACACTTGCCTTGAATTTTACCGACGTTGTGAAAAAGAGCAAACAAAGGTCATCACTTTATAGCATGACTAAAAAATAAGCCGCAACGACTTGAGATTTGTCCATCGCCATCATGCCTACGTTATTGACGCTAATTAACCCTTTTAACCCTAAAACGGTACGCCCGCATCCCACACCATTTGCGGACCTAAATTCCAACAATGTCCGGCAACTTCACAACAGTTAATGTGCTTTCCGCAATGCTCTAAATCGCCATTTCGATGTATTTTATGTAACATGTCATTCAAACCCAACAAACATCCAGCATCACTAAACAGATTTAAATTTCACGTTTCCCTTTTTGAGTGCACTATTGAGGACATGTTTTTAAATTTCGGTGTGCCAAACTAGATATCACCCTCCCCCCCTCCCCCCCCCCCCCCCCACCGCTTCCTGCCGCCAGCCAGTTGGAGTCCTTCAACAATGGCAGTTGATTTCGGCCAGGCACGGAGCCAAAATTTAGCTCACGGGAAGACAAATGCCAACTTTCGTAACATCCTGTAAAGTTTTGTAAGATTGCTCTGAAATGTTTCAGTATATAAGCTTATTTGCTCAGGGACCGTGGGAATGTCCTCTGTGGTCGTTCTCTTCACGGCTCCCCGATTTCAGTTGGGTTTCATCGGTTTATTTGGGGCTAAATAGTGTTGAAAAGGTAAAGATGTAGTAGCATCGGTTAGTAAAACTTCCTCAATTTTACAAGCACGTGCTCGTTCTTCGATTGGTCGCCGCCTCTAACTGGTACTCAGAAATCAGAACACATGTAATCAGTACTCCGATGCAGGAGATTTGCTATTCGTTCAAGGGTGTCCATTCGATGAAATGCAATGTCCAATGCAGCACGTACATGTGGATGATTTTTCTATTGCTCACCCGGAAAGCGCAATTTTGGTTCCCTAACGCTATGTTAAGAATTGTATGAACCACATCATTGACGATGGGCACACTCTTGATATCAATGCCGCACTGTCCCAAGCCCCACTCAGCTGCCCTCTTTCCCGTTTGACGTCTTGCAGGTGAAATGATGGGCCGGATTGCGGAAGGGAAGGACAAATGTTCGGTTTTCACTACATTCGGGTGTGGTAGGTATTTTCGGGTGTAATAGAAAGGAGACGTGTGTGTGTGTGTGTATGTGTGTGTGTGTGTGTGTGTGTGTGTGTGTGTGTGTGTGTGTGTGTGTGTGTGTGTGTGTGTGTGCGTGTGTGTGTGTGTGTGTGTGTGTGTGTGTGTGTGTGTGTGTGTGTGTGTGTGTGCGTGCGTGCATGCGTGCGTGCGTGTGTGCGTGTGTGTGTGTATGTGCGTGCGTGCGTGCGTGTGTGCGTGCAGGGATCGCAAATGTTTTTAGCTTCTATCGGAGCTCCATTCTAACAGCAACTTTGCTTAAAACGAGGTCAGTTAGGTCATGTATAGCCATCCCGTTACAATTTTCATCATCTGCAATGTCCACCTCCAGAATTGTGATGTGGAAAACTATCTTTGGAACTGATGGACCCGGGATGAAACCTTAAGACTCAAAACCAAACTAGGAAGCGGACTGAGTCTCTAACGGGTCAGACGCAGACTCAGACTCATAAGTCGTGAAAAATGACTGCATTTTACTTCGGACTCGGCCTGGATAATGTTGCAGAAAGGAGTCAGAAATTCGATTAAAACTCAGAGTGCCTGGGCTTGACCTCGGACTTGGCCCGAAATACTTGCACTCAGACACGTGTCTGCAATGTACTTCGTCAGGAATTATGCAAAGTTGATTATGCATCTTCGATCTCTTGGCTGCGCCATTGGCGCACGACCAACTCTCAACTCGAACCAACTAGAACATGCCATTTGGAAGCTGGAGCAAAAATTGACTTCGAAATGGTTTGTTCCAAGAAACAGTTCCTATGCTGCAATATACATACCGAGCCCACGACTGCTATGAAAACATGCAACAACCTGACGTATGTTTATTGATAAAGACTAGCATACGTCGGCCAAAGTCATTGCGCGGTACTTATACCAGACATTTCAGCAGAACAAGAACGGTATATTCGTAGGCGCACAGCACAAACACACATATAAGGGACAGCTTGTAAGTGTTTCATTCACCGCATGAAATTCCATATCCAGTGAAATCAAAGAACATGAACAGGTACACCAAGGTTGTGTATAGAACTTCCATCATCTCATGTCTTAGCAAACCTGAAGTTTGTTCGCGTAGTCGGCATTAAACGCATTCGAATGTAGCGAGCCTCTCCGTGATGCACTCCACCTACAAACGTTAACCTGGGTTGATGTTACTATCAGAGGGTTTGAACAAGCGATGCTCCTATACGTATTGCCTCTGCTCTGCCCAGAACAGCTCGGGGTGTTCAATCCTCAGCTGCTCGTACTCCGGGATCTGGGCGGGCGCCACCGGCAGGTGGGCGCCCTGCGGCTGGTAGCCTCCCTCGTCGGCCACGTAGTTGACTTGGTAGGTGCTGCCGTCATCGCCCACGAACTGGTAGTTGCCCTGCTGGGTGATGCTGCCGGTCTCTGGCTCAGGTCCAGGGTATACCTGACCTGTCTCAGCCGCCTGCAAAGGAAGCATGCACATGTGTGTTATCACTGAATTCTGACCTCCAAGACTATGCGTTGCATTACTAACGGATAAGCTGGAAGGCAGCTTCGGCACTGAAGGCAGAACCCGTTCCCTTTCATGTGAAGTGGGCTTTAATCGTCCATTCACATAGCCAGCCTTCCTATCCTCTCACTTGTAAGTATCCGCTGCCTAAATTGCAAGATTCAGACCATCCAAACCCGCCTGGGTTGCGACTTAACGTTACACTGCTGACTATCAAATACAATCCTGCAATGTATGCAGATGACTCGCTACGTTAATCGAAGACATTTAGTCATGAGGATGAGCAGTTCACCAGATGAGCAATTCACAGGGCAAAACGTATAATGAGAGGGGATGAACTGCTCAAAAACGTACCGCCTGTCCGTTGTCCTGCTCGTAGCTGTACTCGTAGTTTCCAGTGATGGGGTCCTGATCGAACCTCTGGCTGAGAATGCGGATCTCGGGCAGTCCAGACCTCACAAACTGATTAGCGTTGTAGTCTTGCGGAGCAGCCGTAACCGCAGCCACCAGTGTAGCAAAGACGAACTAGGGAGAAGGTCAGCGCGTCAGCTAGGGCAGTGCTTGCAATATATGTGCACCATTTTGACAAGAAAAAAACATCATTCAGTGAACAATCATGGGAACTTTATCCCTACTTATGAACAAAAGCTCCATGGCTGCTACCCTTTTTAAGCTACAAAAGCTGCCTTTTTGTTGGCTCTCAGCATAAGACAGCACAAATATGATCACACCTTTGGAATTTTCCAA